AGCAGGGCGAGGGCGGGCGCCACAGGAAGCAACGTTCACAGCGCTAGGGGCAGCCAAGGGGCGGGCAATATTGTTGTAGACATAAACTTCTGGCCGCGCCTGGCTCACTTGTTGAGTGCCCCTCCGGCCCCGCCCCCGTTCGACTACCGCTTGCTCTACCTGCTATTACAACGTAGCTCATGCTATCTCTATCTTGGCTCTCGGCTCTCCTTTTTGCCTGTTGCTGCTAATTGGCATAGTGCGTGTTTTTACACTTGGCTGCTCTGCGCTGCCGTCTTGCCAGGGGTGGGAGGTGGGAGGGGCAACGCGATATTCGTATGCAGCAATTGAACACTGCCATTTGGCAGCTAAATAGGTGAAGCATAATGAGACAAGGCAGGCGCAGTGCACTGCAGGCTCAACTGATACGGAAGTAATGGCTGTGCTTGGAAGAATAGAAGATAATTAATAGGAAGACACACACACACACACACACACATAGATAGAAGAACTGTGTATCTTAATGAAAATTACACCTGGCTGAGAGTAGAGCATTCATGGTCACAGTTGTATCTCAAAGTAATATTAATTATGGCAGATACAACTGAGTCGAAAGAATTTCAGTTAAATTAATACCATTTTGGACTAAAGCAGAATTAAGATGTAACTAAATTCAATGTTTCCAACGGAAATCAGGCTAAGATGAATGTAGAGCAATTGTAGTCATAATTATCATAGTTAATCCAAAGTTTTTCCAGTCAGTTAAAGCTCAAATTAATTTCTAATTAAATGTAAAATAAGTAACTAAATCTTAAATTAGTAGTAATCATATTTAAAAAATCTTAAATTAAATATAAATAAATTTAACATAGTGCAAGTTCCTTGTTTAGTGGAGGGTGTAGAGTTGACAGTAGAGGGTCTCTGGACGTGCCTAGAATGGAGAATATCCTTATTAATAATTTGGTAAACTTTAAGATCAAGAATTGAATTGAAATACTTCCTTGTTCAGTTTCCATGGAGTTGAATTAATAAAGAGAAAACATAAAAGGGTTTACTGAAAATAAACAACATAATATTAATGTAGATAAAAGCTATGGGTAGAGCTATCCTTAATATAAAATCAATAATTTGCGTGCTTCCAGAAAATACTGCAGCCTGATAGAAATTGTCTGCAAGTAAACGAAGGTTTCGATTATTTTAAAGATAGAACCATAAAACTAAGCTTAAATAACTCGGATATTACTTGTTATATTCTCGTATATTATAAATAATTTATCACTGTCATCATCTCATCTATTTACCCAGACTTTTCGAGTCATCTGATGACTCAGTAGCCGCATTCCTAAATCAAGTTTGCCCAATGCATTGGCTTGTCCCTCGACAATTGAATCAATAATGCGCGCGCTGCACTTGCACAGCCCTGAAAAGCCACTTAAGCCCTTTGCAGCAGCAAATAAATAATGCCCCAGAGTCCCTCAACTGTGCCGCACTATGAACTATGAACTGCCAAATCTAAACTGTAAACTGTAAACTGTGTGTCCTGCGGTCAAACTCGGGCACGTGTTTGTCCCGGAGAAGGTTCAGAGTCAAGGTCACTCAATTTCTCTCTGGCAGCCGAAATGACTGCAGCTAAATGACATTGGGACTGATGTGTGACAAGTGAGAGCGATGGGAGAAGCCAGACTGGACGACTAGAAAATACCCTGTCTCAATATTATATTATATTAATTCACAATATTTGTGCTCACTCTTTGCTTAACTTCCAAGCCAAACAGATGCCCCTTATACATAGACACTTTATGTAAATGTCTTACTTACCTAATACCCTGTACGAGTAGAAAATACCCCGTTTAGCTTTTAAGTCAAACAGCTGCCTCTGAGATGGACTCATTATCTCCATCTCTTCCATCCTCCAACTACTTTACTTTGACTAGAAAAATATGCCTCTAAGTTGGACTCTTACTCTATAAATTAACTTCGTTAGCTTTACTCACCCGCCCAATATACCCGCTTCTCTCTCATTTACCGCGCATCAAAATCAATTCTAATTACTTTGACAACTTTCGTATTTTGCAGGCTGCATTTTGGCCGAGTTGTACACGGGCTTTCCCCTCTTCCCCGGCGAGAACGAGGTGGAGCAGCTGGCCTGCATTATGGAGGTGCTGGGCCTGCCGCCCAAGGTGCTCATCTCGGTGGCTCGCCGCCGCCGGCTCTTCTTCGACTCGCGCGATGCGCCGCGCTGCATAACCAATACGAAGGGCCGCAAGCGCTCGCCGGGCAGCAAGTCGCTGTCACAGATATTGCACTGTCAGGATCGCTATTTCATAGACTTTCTGCAGCGGTGCCTCGAGTGGGATCCCGCGGAGCGGATGACGCCTGATGAGGCCGCCCATCACGAGTTCCTGCAGCCATCGGCGTCGAGTCGACATCGCAGCTGCCGCATGTCCACCAGCTCGTCCAGCTCGGGCCTGAACAGTGTCTCCCAGAAGTCTTCCTGCTACAACTTTGCAGAGATCTCGCCGGGCAACGGGCCAGTGGTTGCCTCCATAACGAGCACCACAGCCGTTAGCAATGCGGCCATCACGACCAAGTCCATCACCAGCAGCAGCAGTTCCCGTCAGCCCCATGGCCATGGCCATGCCCACGGCCACGCCCAGTCGAACGGCCACCTGCCCGACATCAAGCTCAGCGCCAGCGACAAATACAACAGCATGCAGAAGGTGGCCGTGCGCTCCAAGATCACCTCGAGCGTCTCCGATCTGGAGTCGGTGCAGCAGCAATATTCGCTGCATCGCATCTACGGCGGCGTGGGCAGCGGCAGCACCCATCACGTTTCCTCGGCCGCCACCAGGAAGCATCTCAATGGCAGCAGCAACACGACCAACGGCAACAGCAACAGCAACAGCAACAGCAACGGCAACATCAATGGGAGCAGCAGCAGCAGCAAATACGGCAGCTCAACGCTGGCGCACAATCATCACAATGTGACGCATCACAATGCATCCACGGCGACGATTGCCACGGCCACGCATCATCATCATCATCATGGCGTGGGCGTGGGCGTGGGCGTTGGCCAGGTGGGTGGCCAGATAACAGGTGCCGGCTCCAATGTGGCCATGTCACACTCTCAGTCCACGGGCGATGTCTCCGACCGGGCAATCTTTGGGCGGGCTTGACTTAGGGCGCGGCCCACCAAGCTCGAGCTGAAGAAGTGCAAGCTGGTCAATATGATGGACTTCTGGAGCTAGAAGTGGCGTCCACAGCAGTGCGCTGATCTGCGGGAGGAATAGTACGCAGCTGCTGCTTCCGGCCCACAAAAATCTAGCTGTAAATGTTTAGCTATACATATATATATCCATATATATATGCGTATATATATATATGTGTATATATATGTATGTACGTATTTAGGTCTATATATGTATGTGTATTGTGTATTAAGTGTGTCTCTCTTTATCCGGTTGCAAACAGACATTTATGAAATATGCGAAATATATATATATATAAATATATATAGTTATATGATATATAGTTGATATATACACACTCACACACACACACACACACACTTGCAACAGTCTTGCAGTATTCTCAGTTAATTTCTTTGATTTTAATTTTTTATTTTTTTTGCTACTGCCATAGCTAAAATATGCATATACATCTTGATATATGATTTGTATTTCCTAAAAACGTATTTCTCTCCCAAAAGTATTCGTACGACTTCAACGCCTTTTCACGTGCATTCATGCAAAACTGTATTCAACACGAACAAATTGATATCGTCATAACTAACATAATAATCATGATAATGAATAAAATGGAATAACATAACCTAGTTATATATATACACATATATGATATACACATGTATGTATATTATGTAAGCAATTCAACTCCAAAATCTGTAAACAATTTCCATACAGCTTCCATGTGTTTTGCAACAGTATCAAGGCTGTTATTAGTTACAAATAGAGATTGTGACTATATTTATAAGTTGGAATGTTTCATCATCAATTCAAAGCTCAAATGTAGAACTCTTTATGACTAAAATAACTCCCAATTGCTAGGGAACCTCATAGATCCACCAAATTAACAAATCGAAAATACCCCAGTTAATTATATAAACTATAGATAAATGTATATCTCTAGCTAGATATAGACGGCCTATCTGAAACATTCTGACCTAGGACTGGATTAGGTTCGATATCAATTGAGCGTCAAGTTTGACACCATGTTTAACGTAAGTTTGTATTTTGCATGAGAGAACTTGAGAAAGATCGAAATCGATATAGATCTCGATGCAGAATCGTTTTGTAAGTTTTGAGTATGTCCAAAACACTCACACTTAGTGCAAGTAACATGTCATAATCTAATGAGTATACACACCACACATATTATAATAAACTATAAACTAATATTACGTAATTATTGATTAGAAACAAGATAAAATGAAACAACAATTTATTGCCAATACCACACAAAAGAAGTAAACAAAAATAAAAGATAACATATATAAGAAATGAAACTTTAACTAATTCTATGTAAATCGTATTAATAGAAAAACAAACAAACAAAAATAAATACAATTTTACTATAATCAAAGTTTGAAACACACACACACACACATACACACTCTTGAGACAGTTGAATGTTAGCTAAGAGCAGAGATGCCCCTCAATGTGCCCTTTCCCCTTCCTCAAATAACACGTTCCCCTCCCTCGCTCTCTATAAGTCGGAGCTTAGACTGTCTGTATGAACAATGTTTTGTGTACGTACTTTTAGATATCACTGTAAACAGAATGCAAATTTTGCTCATGACTTTGATAGTATCGTAGAATATATATACATATAAATATATATATCACGATATAGCTTATATACACAATAATTTCTGCCTATTTTATGTATTATTTATGTTCTTATATATATATATATATATATATATATATATATATATATATATTTCAAAATATATATATTTCTCTGCCTAACTACTACTATTACTACTATATCATTTTTTCTTTTATGTATTATGTGACGTTTATTCAATTTTAAAAAATTAAAAAAAAAAAAAATTAAAAATGCAAAACTTTATTTACAAAGTGAGTTTCGAATTTAAAGTTTAGTATTAAATTACATATATGAAAAAGAAAAAAAAAAAAAAAAAAAAAAAACAAAAACAAAAATTACTTTTAATTATAAACCAATATATCAATTTTTAATTAATGAATCATATTTAATGGTGTAGAAACCAGAATGAAAACCAACAACATGTAATCAATACAATTACAATAATTGAAAAATAAATTTAAAAAAATTATGTACTCAAAAACTTACGCATTTATTATTATACTTTATTTATATATATGTTAATTTTACAGACAAAGATGTTGCTGGCTACAATCTTTTTAAATGGATTATGCTATGGGATAAAATGAGCCATGCGGCACCTAATAAGGGTTAAGCTTTTTGTCGCTTTACGAAAATTAAAAAGATAGCATACTTTTAGGCACGCAGTAAAATATATTCATGCTCTGACTGCTAAATAGATATTGTGCAGGGTTTCAATTTGTTTCACTTGAATATAATTTTGATTTGCTTTATAATACTGTGATAAGATTACTGGCTATGATTTTTGCATATTTTCTTACTATATAGTATATTAGTTTCATATAAACTAAAAAAAGACCAAGATGTACTCAGAGCCTACACTTGAAGCTTTATAATATCCATTTCATAATTATGTTCTGCAGAGCAGGTAACACTTTGTATGTGTAATCTAGGCTTGACTTCGTAAGAGTTACTTCTCTAATATTCTATATATTTAACATTATATACATCTATTAAATGAGTTTAATATACAGTCCCGATTTAAAATCATCAAAGCTATCGATAGTATTTATTCCACTCATTCGATATTCTAACCCAGATGAGCTGCTCGTCGCACTTATATCATAAAAATTTCACAGATCTTTGTAGCCATCGATCCTAATTTACGAGCGATTATCTAATTTAACTAAAAATTATATTCATCAAGCGATCATCGAAGTATTTATTCCATTCACCAATCAATTAGCAGAAATCTTACCAGTTGAGCTGCTTATGTGATCTTTATAGCTGCCAATCCATAAGCTGTTCCACCTGTATAAAATTTACAGCTGATTAAATGTAACTTTATTATTTTAATTTATTTTGATTAAGTTATAGCTACCTCAGCTTCTGCCCTCCGTCGGATTGATGTGTCTCTTGTGATGCTTACAACGTTTTGACACCATTTGCAAATACCTTTGGGGCAACAATTTGTTAATTTAATTTTGTTTGCAAACCTTGTTTATTTGGTGGTTGCCTTTCTTCTCCTTCTCCTTCTCCTTCTTTTTTTTCTAGTTGCACGAGTTGTGTAATATCCGAATTATGGATGTGCCTGATGTTTGGGCATCTATTAAATGAGCATTTGTGTAATAGCCGCCGCACGTGTGCCTTGCTTTTGTTGCTATCTGCAGGAGATAATGTGAATCAAATGTGGATTTTATTAATGGCATACAGTTTGTTAAAGACTAATGGATGCTGGGGCACAGCTGTACCAATTGCAGCTTAACATCACATCGCTGACAGACTGTGAAGATCATGAATGATTTTCACTTTTTCCACCATGTGAAGCACTTGACAAGTATTTTGCGTGGGGGTTTGATCCGCTGAGAAAAAGACGAGAAAGCGAAAATTCTAAGTATAAGCCCACTCTGACTTCTTTATGTGTGTGTAGAAAATCTTCATTCTGGAATGAAAAGTAAAAGTTGCCTTCACGATCCACGATCCAACGATCGTTGATCCAAACTAAGCAAACAAAATAATAATAGTAATTCCCATTGAGCTCTTCGAGTGATAAGCGCGACGCGTAACTCTCATTGAGTTAAAGGTTTATTGACGCAAACTTTTAGTCTGCTGCTGCTGTTGCCGCGTCTTCTTCTTCTTCATCATCATCGATGATGAGCTTCATGATGATCGCCGTCGTCGGCGTCGTCATCGTCTGGCACTTGTTTTTGTTGTCGTTTAAGCCTCCAGTTCGGGTCCATGGCAGCTCGAAGGCCGTCGCTTCTATCTGCCTCTGTTGCTGTTGCTGCTGCTGCGACTCTTCTTTTTTTTTCTTTCTTTCTTTCTTGCGTTGATCATTCATCGCAAAGGTGAAAGTCTTTCTCCCTGCAGCGCTTTGTTGTTGCCATACGCTGTACACAGCATTTTTAGTCTTGTTTTTTTGTTTGTGGGCTTTTGCCGATGTTTTGATTTCTGTTGTTTTTATTTAACTTTGACTTTGGCTTGGGTTTGCCTGCTCTGTGACTTGGCGTTTTCATCAATCTCTTTGCCCAGCCATTAGGCTTTTGTCCCCGTCCCGCCCCACTACAATTATCTGAAGATTTATGCCAAAAAATTAACAAATTCTAAATTGGCCGCCTTCAACGTTTTCCCACACTTGAGTAAAACATAATTTAGTTAGGTTAATCTCAAGTACAAAAACATATTCATTTCGTCGTATTATATCATCTCGTTTTTATCTGCAGCCTCTTTTGACGCATTTATAGGTGGGCCACGCCGAAAAATTAAACAGATGAATTTTTTATTACGATCAGCAGGTTTCCGCCGTCACGTCTCGGATCTGAGGTCAATATGGCGATTTCTGACTTGATGGAAAGCAGACTTATGGATGACTAACAACTTGATAGATAAGTAGAATTGCAGATGGTCCGATTATAGTTATTGATTTCAAATGACCGTCGTTTAGTTTGTTTAATTAAATAATAAACAAGACTATGAGATTGTATTATTAAATACTCTAGCAGAATATGCTTCCTAATTAAATAAAAAGTCTAAAGAAGAGGCTTTTACATCATATTTACATATATAAAAATAAATATAAATAATAAAAATATAATTATACAAAAATATATTTAAATAAAATTTTGTACAAATAAAATGTCAAATAAATAATATAAAAAAAATTATATATAAACGGTTCTCATATAATCAAATATCCCCACAAAGAATCCAGATTGTAGCTAATTAATATGTACGCAACGACGAAAATATTTATTTTATTTTGATGACATGATCTTGACTATCTCTTAAACTGAAAACTCTTAAAAAACAACAGAAATTTGAGCATCTTTAGAAGCACTTGAGACAAAACGGAGAAAACTTCTTCAATGAAATTTTGGTATTTTTCCCATTCGATAATTTATTTCGCCTGACAAAGCCAATTGAATTAACGTGCACAAAAACAGGTGATTGTTGTTATTATTGTTGTTGTTTTATGTATTTTCCATATAGATTTTATAGTCATCATGGCTTTTCTAGCCGTACGATTACTGAACAAAGAAAGCTATCAAATAAAACGGATACAAAAGAAGCAACGTCTCGAGTCATTGGACTTGGTTGGGCAGCAGCCCCAACCTGCGCCATCATCGAATCAGTCAAATCGAGCATAGGCCACTATCGCTGTCTATCTGTGGGGTGTAGAGTGACCAGAGCGAAACCCGATAAGCTGCTTATGTAATGCAACTGGAGATCGAATAGATTCGTATCGATCCGCCATTCGTCCGCCCATTCGTCTGTCCGGTCCGCAGTTGAGCCCTACTCTAGAATTGCATTGGGCATCGAGTTAATGGGCCATTCGCTTGCATATTTCATATCTGTTGCGTTGCGTTTGAAAGTGAAAATCTTTATTAATGAAAGCTGGCGTTGAAGTGTTTGCCTGACGGACTCGCCGATTAGTCGATTAGTAGATTAGTCGTCGCATTGCCGAATTTTTCGAGCCACAGCAAATTGCTGCGATAATTGCTGGAAAGCAGCAAATGCCATAATTTGTGCGAGTGGCCCAGGCTACGCTTTGAGAAGGGCCACCAGATTGACGGCCAATAGCCAGCCAGCTGTTGCACAAGAGGAAGTCAAGTGGATAGTCAGAGATGGATGAAAACTTTTGATTAGATCTATGGGAGGGGTAAAATGAGTGAGTGTAGAGTGAGAGTAGCTGAGGATGATCTGTGGACGAATTCTTTATAAATCATAGCAGAATATGAACTAAGCAATGTCTTAGAAAGCTAGTGGATGCTTATAGATAAGAAGCAAGCTGTTGAAAAGAAACGAATTTTGCTGTCAATTTAATAACAGTAAAATAGTTAAAGACAATATACCGCTATAACCGATATAATATAGTGTAATTGCTTTGAGCTTACTCTAAGAAAGATGTACTTGAGATAGAGCCATAGATATAATCCAAGAAACTTGTAAATGCCTTTGGGCTCAAGTTATCTTCATTAATAACTGAGGAATGTGTGACTACTTAAAAAAGAAAAAACAATTAAATTCCGAAGCACATAATGAATTTATCCAACAGAAGATCTTCGTTTAGGTTGTTTTGATTAAATGAAGCTTAATGAATTCCACCCAATGCAGATCAATTAAATACTTCAGCTCTCTGTACTTCCCTCAAATTCCTTCAAAACACTAAAAACTTGACTGATCTGACTTTCACAGACTCGATGCTAGCGTAACCTTGATACTAGATATGAATACCACCAGCTAACATCACAAATGACTGTCCAGTTCAGGCACTCGCCAAGCTTCATCAATGCGAAACATCAATTATTAGCGATCCATTTGATCGGTTCAACAATGTCATGCTGTGCCCTCTCTCGGTCTATGTAAAACTAGATCAACTCAACCTGCAACGATTATTCATCGATTTTCGATGATGTAAGTGCGTAATGGGGTTGATCAATTGGAGCGCCGATCTCAGCTGGATCAGGTCCGGTCCGAGCTACCGTCTAACTCTCCATAAAATATAGCGGAAAGACAACGGCGGATCGTGGTGTGTGCTTGAAATGCAGTTTTAATGATCTGTACGAAATGTTAAACACATATTCGTTGCCATTGTGCGGGTCTATGTGACACTTGGGTCTCGTAAATGCTAATGATGATGTCGGCAATTTCATTTGGCCGGCTATTAAAAGGTATTTATGGTCATTACGAATCGTACGCCTTCAATTGGCGTTCTTATCTACGCTTCCGAGTGCGGAAGTTACGTGATTTTGGGGCGTCTGCAATCGAAGACTGTGCAGATAGCTTCATATTTGTCTAGCCAAGTGTTTCTGGTTCGATAAAGACTGCAACGCGAAGAGCGAATATCATTTGCTGTGCAAAGCAGACGAAGAAGAAGAAGACGGCGAAGAGGTGAACAAAAAATCAAAACCAAAATTAAATACAGCTCGGTATAGAGCTTGGCATTTCCTCATGTTGCACACCAGCAACACTTTCTCTTTCAACCGCCGAGCCGCTCTTCGATGCTTTCTCTTTGCACCGAACGCGCTCTCAGCAACTGTTGCTGTTGCTGCCGACGTTGTTGTTCGTGTTGCCAGCAACATGTTGCGACGCTCATCGTCGCATCACGTCGTTCGCATATTTGTTTTGTTGTTGTTGTTGTTTTTTTTTTTTTTTTTTGGCATCTTCGTCGCTTTGGCTTGGCTTAAATTGTTACCAAACGCTTAATGATCTTCAGTTAAGCATCGAACTTTTACCAGACAAGTCGTGTCTGCGGCTAGCACTCGACTGACGACTCCGCGGCAGCCAACGCTTACGGAATACTAAATAAAACAATACTAGTTGAAAATCCAAGCGCCAAACAAAAACTAACTGCGTTTGCATAAGGCATAAGGCAAAAATAGAAAACGTTCCAGCGCAAAAGTTGATTTCAGTTTTGTGTTTTTGACAATTTGGAAAATTTGACTTCATGTTTTCTCTCGTACTCAAACATAGTGCTACGATATTTGATTAATCGAAATTCAAGAAAAATCAAGGCTGTAACTGTAAATTGGAAAAACCTCAACAAATAAATAGTCAAGTTATCTAGCGGAAGTCGGTGTGAATCATGCGAGTTTTGTTGACTCTTTGGGGCACTTTGTGCCTGTGGACGATCACGGCGAATGCACAAGGATTTATTCCGCCCAATGTGGTGCAACATAATGGAGTAAGTTGAATGAAAAATATATTCAAATATAGCTGGAAAAATTCTGAAATTATTTTAAATACAATTAATGAATATGTATTCAAGTATGAGCATAAAAATAAATGCCCTAGATTGAAGTCTCTGTAAGGGAATCAATAAAAAATAGTTTGAATATTTTCATTGATTGAAATTCACATATTTAAGATAAACCGACTTTCAATAATAGTTTGACACTATATTCAATATTTTGTTTATTCAAATTAATATATTGTTCAGATTCAGTGACTTTCAATAATGCCAAAATATATACAAAGAAAATATTGCATATTTGATTTAATTCAAATAAATATAGTTTAAGGTTAACCGCCTCTCCATAAAAGCTAAATGTAAATTTCAACTATTGAAATGAATATATTTTTGCTTTATATCAAATTTTAGGTCAAGCCTTTGCTTTGCTTAAAATAGTTTATAAATAATATATTTTACACCCCATTCATTTTTTGCGGAATTTCTATTCAAATATAGTGTTATTATTATTATTTTGCTATTTATTGTGAATAAATATTAAGTGGTATTTTTATACACTCGGACAATTGCCTTTGTGGCTGTCAACAAATTGAGATCGAAATGGACTCGTTCCAGTTAACCCTAGACAATGTTTATAAAAAGTCTGCGACAGAATTCAAATATTTGCCTAATACAGAGCCTCAACAATGTGAAAGAAACTGAAAAGATTTATAAATCCATTTGCATTTCCATTGAACGCTATGCAAATATTTATTGTGTATTCTAGTTGTGAATATTATTTGAAGTGGAAGTGACATAGATTTTAGGAAAGTTTCTGCGAAAATAGGCCAAAAAAAAGATGAATGGCCAACAGAGGAGATAAATGCGGATAAACGTATTTGTATATTATGCAATTTTCGTTTGGAAAATTCCAAAAATTCCCCAAAACACTTGAGGGAGATTTTTATAAAGCCCAAAACTAAATTATTCAATTATTCAAAACATTTTCATAGGCATTTTCATATTAATTGTACAAATATTCAACTGACTTGCCTCAGTGAACTTTCCCTTTTTATTATATATATACATATATATATATATAGATATTTATATACAGCTTCTTCTTTGTTTCTTTGAAGATGCAAAGGAAGCAAAGAGTAAAAGCCACAAAGTCATGGCAACCTTTAGAGTCGCAGATGATAATAAACCTGTTCGCTTTGAAAACAAAAAGAGATATGCAAGAAACCGAGTCAAGTGGGCTAAGGGAATCTCAGTTCTTAGGCGAAACTCAATAGTTAGGTCAGTTACAGACTGATGTATATAGATATATATGTATATATGGGTTGTAATATATACATATTAATTATCATTAACAAAGTCTTGCGGCCAACATAATTGATAGAGCTATTAGAGCTATTTACAACAACATATATATGTATTTATATATAGATACGAACACCTATATCTATCTAGCTTATCCCTTGGCTATTGTTGTTATTGCAGCTCTTGTTGTATTTTTGTTTGTTGGTCAATGCGGCATTTGTGGCATCCGCTGTTATAGTTAGTTTTCACTTTCATGGCCTCAGCCTCAGAGTTGCCAACTGGCAGCCGCAACAATTTATGATATTTCCAATTTGATTGTCATTTTCGCTCTTTGTTGTTGCTGCTGCTGCTGGCTTTGATTTGCGGATGAACTAATGTCCATAATTGGGATTTGTTTCATCTGTTGTCTGCTTTGAAAAACGTAACACTTTCGTTGCATAAACGTATTTTCATAATATTTCGGCTAAATACCAATATTTATGATACCACAACACACACACACACACACACAAATGAAATTTCAGCTTAGGTCAGCTCGACTCAATAAAAGGCGCAGTTAAAGTTGAATCAGTTTCTCAATTTGAGAAAAGTTGTCAAGGGAATTTGAATGCAGAGCCTTTTTGAGAAGCGCATATAGAGGCGCTTGGTAGTTTCGGCTCTCTTCCAGCATAAATTACCCAAATCATCAAACGAAAACCCAATCAATATCTATTCAATATTCTACTGCACAATTTTTATTGAATTTCAAGTAGATTTCCCTTATATTTCCCATCCTTTGCTAGCTGATTTCATAATATGGATTATATCATAGCGAATCTCATGCTCAATTACATTTTCAATTTGTTTGACTAAGCAGCACTTCCTGCCCCAAACAACACTCGGCACTCAATACTCAACACTTTGGCTTTATTTCCATTAACTGTTGGCACTGCCGCTGTCCAATCAAGCACTTCATCAGAGTCACAATTTTGTTCACTTTTCCACGTGCGCCGCCCGAGCATTTTCAATGAAATTGAAATTGAAATTCGATTTAATTCTCAACTAGTAAGAACAGCGACAACAACAACAACAACAACAACAACAACAGCGACAGCAGCAGCGACAGGCACAGCAACAACTCAATCATGTTGGGCCACTCTAAACTAAATGTGAAGCGAGTTCAAAGTAAAATCCAACTCGAGGGCTGCCTAATTGGCTCTGCGTGTGATTAGCGTTCAATTACTTCGATTTATTTGTGATACAATGCAAGCCAATTGAAGTCGATTTGACGCCATTTGATGCAGTGTGGCGCCACTTAACGAGCTTTAACTAACAAATCTGAGTAGGCTATATGGCTGTCTTTGTCTACATCTATACGTATATATGTATAATTGGTTCAATGGGACGCGTGGGCAACACACCTCAGCAAATGTCAAGTTTGAACTGCTCTAAAATTCTAGTTGCCAAGCAACTTTCATTTTTTAACGCACAAATCCATTAACTCTTTGTCGCGGCAACAAAAAATTTATGTTTTCGATAAATATGCAACCAAAATATATTTGTATAAAAGATCTCTCGATTGACCCACTTTCCACATAACAACAACAACAGCAACAAAACCTGCTAGAATGACGGACCTACACTCCCCAACAACAACAATACAAGCGCAAAAAATTTATATATATGAAAAAAAAAAAGCGAAACAACAAAATCAAAAGAAGTTACAACTTGAAATTCATACAATAAATCGCAAACAGGTTGAAGGGCCTGTCAAGCGCGTATCTCGCAGATACAAAGATACACAAAAGTATCTTAAGACAGTTGCCGCTGCCTGCAGCAGATCTCAATGTACCAAAATAAGTGATGCTGCTTATTTTTTATTATTATTATTATCATTTCTTCTTCTTCTCTTGCGGTTATTGTTGCCAGCAGCCAATTAAAAATGCCATAGCTCGGCTCGCTAGCTCCGTAAGTCTATTACAATGCTAATGGCAGATAGTTGACATAGACCTATATATTTATAGTCTACTCTTTTTTTTTGCAATTTGCAAAAAATAATAAAAAGATTTCTTTAATAAAATAAAAGTAAGCCATAATTTAATTAATTTATAGCACGAAATATGAAAAAGGAAAAATGTAGAAATTAAAAAATATATAAAAGCTTTTTAATATTTAATTTCTAATATTTTCTAAGTAATTCCAAGTCTCATAAAAATCTTAAACTTTTATCTATAGTCATTTTTATACTAGTTCAAATGAAAACAAAAGTTTGTCTGTAATTTATAGCACAATTTATGAGAAAGAAAAATTGCAGAAAATAAATGTATAATTTATGAATTTTACTTGAACTAATGTTTTATAATGAAGCAGCTATTTGCATATATTTGCTATATATTTTCCATATAATGCCAACGTTATACGTTAAGCTAAACCTCTTAAGAATCATAAACCCATCTCAAAGCACTCCCTTAACTCGTCTTATGACACACATTTTTGCCCAGCTATTTCATAATTAATTCACGCATCTCGCACACAATCGAAAGTGAAAGCAAAATATTGAATATTGAAGAGTCAACAGATATGTATAAAAAAAATTTAAATTAAAATGAGAAATTGAAAACAAAAAACAAAAATCCAAAGCTATGCCAACTATTTGACAGGGAGGCAACAGTAAATCCAGCATAACATGGCTAGCCAATTGGACGCTGGGACAGCTTTGGACATGGTTTAGATGATGGGCGACAGATGTTGCCTGAATTGTTGTTGCTGCTGCTGCTGCTGCTGTAAGGCCTGAACAGTTGCTGGTTGTTGCCTGTCTGTTTGTCGCTGGCAATTTCTGTTTACACGACACAAAAAGGCAACTGCAAACGCAAAGCATTGTACACACACACATATATACACATATACATATATACATATACAACATACACTTTGATATCAGGCGCAAAATTAAGAAATACCAAAAACAAAGAGGCAAAGGCATCGTATAAAAGAAACTTTAGCGTCAGCCGCCAGCCGACTTGACTTGGTCTTTAAACTGTGACCAGTTCCTGCTCGCGGACAAAAGGAAGATGATGATGTGGCTAAAAGAAGAAACAAAACAAAACAAAACAACCAAATAAAAATACGTATTTTATTTTTCTTGTTTACCAAAAACTTTGCAATGGGTTGTTGCCTGTTGTAATCGCAGGCCGTTGCCGTTTTCTGTTGGTGTTGCCGTTGCCACAGCCAACTTATGTCAATAGTCCGAGGCAGCGGCAGCGGCAGACGCAGAGGCAGAGGCAGAGGCAGCGGCAGATGCAGCGGCAGCGGTATAGACAGACGGCAGCAATCTGGTCTGACACGTTTTTCTTTGCAACTTGGCAACTGCAGCAAAATCTCCTATTGGAAAATTGTGCAAGCCAAATAAGGCAACGGAACAGCTGCACAAAAGGTTAAGGACAATGTCCAGTGAAAGAGTTCAGCTGCAGCAGAAAAACAAAACATCTAAAGAAAATGCCAAAAATTAAACCAATAGAAAATCAAGTTATGAGAGCTTCTATCTAAATTTCTTGAAAGTTTTTCACATCATTTTGGAGAGCAAAGCATAAAATGCGGAGGGAAATGAGAGAATATTCATATTTCAGAATAGGATAGAGGTTCATATTTAAATGCAATAGTTTAAATATTTTAGTTTAGATATAGCAATTCATGCGCACCAAATAAATTTGGCTTTAATAATTCATTTTGAGTCTCTCTTTGTGCTTCGGAATCAAATATCACACAAAAGTAAAAGTTCAACATGCCTAATAAATATTTTATTTTATTTTATTGTGCTTTATTTCCCTTGAATTTTTTTAAAGAAAATATATATGATGGAAATATATGTATATATTGCCAATAAGAAGATAGAAGGGGATTGGACATTCGTAGAATTTTATAATATAACAAATAATATTAAAATATTAATAATATTGTCTAATATAGCCTATCCATCATTAACTATGAAATTTACCAAATCTTATTTAGAAAAGTGGAAGCTAATTCAATGAAAGCAATACAAATTAAGTTTATTCCTCTATGTCTTTTTTTTCTCTCTCTCTCACCCCATCTCTCCCACTCTCAGCGCTTCGCAAAACATCTCCCACAGCCATTTTCAGGCCGAGTCCAACAATGATTTCCTCATTTATAGCTTGTCTCCCTCAATTATTAAGTCATTATTACTCTGATCTGCAAGCTGTATTAGTTACGCCCATATATTTATATTAAAATATCTATATAGATAAATCTTGAGCGAAAAATTTCACATGGCTTGTGGCTGGGGCAGCTCATTAATGCTTCTACTTTTGGCGGGCAGTGTGGACGCTGGCAAAAGAAAGTAAATGGGTCTGCGACATAACTCATCGCTGATTATTGACAGGTTGCACGGCGAGGCGACGCTTTTGCTCTGCCTCCGCCTGCGACTCTTCATCACTTTTATTTTTTGTTTGCCATCTTCTTTGGCGTGTTTAACAAATTTCGTTGCGAGTGCATCATTAATATTGGAGGCTTGGGCTCGAAAAACCAAATGACTTTTGGCATCTTTTTGCCCGGGTCTAATTGAGAAGGGGAGGGGAGCTGAAGAGAGCTGCCGCAATTAGTGCCGCAATTGTGCAGTAAATATATCAGAGTGCAAATTTTTACCCACCAGCGAGCACGAGCAAGTGTCAACTTCCGCATTACTCATACGCCACGTAAAACGGGTTTTCTGCAGCCGTTGCCATTGCCGTTGCCGTTGCAGTTGCAGTTGCAGTTGCTGTTGCAGTTTTTGCTGCATCTTCTCGCCATAACTCAACACAAATATGGACAAAAAGTCAAACGATCCTCGTCGCCGGTCACGTAAGCGTTCGACCAAGCCCACAGACCCAGACGATGCTGCTGCAACTGCTGTTGCTGTGGCATCCAGCAACTGGTTGCACTTTCGTTTTTGTTGTTGCTGCTGGGTGAAAATGAAGAAGCGTTTGTTGTTGCTGCTGTGGCTGATGCTGATGCTGCTGCTGCTGTGAGAGAGTTCCAAAACAAGATTCAAGCAATGCGGCCTCAAAGATCTGGCTGGGTCGGTCGCTTGGGTTGGTTGGCCTGCCTCGAAGATGTTGCAAGCCAGCGCAGCCGTTGCATAATTTGTTTTTGTTTTTCTACAACTACCTAACATGGCAAGTTGCTGTTGTTGCTGTTGTTGCTGCTGTTGCTGCTAGTGGGTGTCCAAGCCGTTGCAAAAGCCAGTCTATTGATTTGCACTTTGAGTTTGCGCCAAAAATAATAATTTAATGACATTTTTGTGGTGTTCGACGTTGAAAACATAATCAAAATTTCAATAAAAAAGAAAGCTCTGCATATGAGAAAAAGTATATAGTTTTTTGAATAAGATTTAGAGTTGTTTAGCGTGTAGAAAAAAGTAAATTGAAAAGCTTATGCAATAATTAAAAATATATATAAAATATGACATCTCTGAAAATGCATTAAAAATCAATTCTAGTCTCTCTCTCTCTCGCTTTATCTCTCTCTCTCACTCAACTCCACATTTTCTTTTAATAAAAAAATTTAAAAAAAAATCTTCTAATTACGCTATAAATTTTATATATTTTTTATAAATTTCTCATATTTTTTATATGAATATTAATTTATGTATATATTTCATTGAATGATTGAATGAATGCATGAATGTATTTTATATTCATAAATGAATATATTTAAAATCTATACATATGTAAATCTATATATTTATGTAAGAATATGATTTAAAATGTATATATGTAATCTCTTATATTATTTCTAAAAATGTGATAAAAAACAATGTAAGTTGATAATAAATATTGATTGATTTTATAGCCAAGCTGCAAGCTATCGAAAAACACAAAACTTTCATTAAAAAAAAAAAAAAATCAAAAATAATGCAAAATTATTGCACGATAGCAATTGACGTAATTGAAAAAAAAAAAGTTTGATAAACCCAAGTTAGAAAGGTGAAAGGTTATTTGAATAGATATTCAAATTATGTAGCTGGCTAATGGAAGTTGTTTGATTGCAGAACGGATGCTGCCTCTATAGAGAGAGCGGGGTGGGTGGCAAAGAGAGTTATTTAAATTGCGCATTAAACTAAACTGCATTTTGCAAATCTTCTTCTACCACTTGCAAATATCTATTATACATTTTGCTGGCTTTGGGCCATTTTCACTTCAATGAAATCGAAAGCCTCGAATTCATATTTAGCTGGCTTGCATGCTCAGCTGATGCACTCAAATGCGCAGCAAAAACAAATTAAAATGTGTTATTCGCAACTGTGGAAGGCAGGCAGGCGCAACACGCTGCAAGAAGCCAACAGGGAATGGAAATGGAAATGGGATTGGGAATGGGCATGAAATGGTTATACAGTGAAACAGAAAATAACTAAACCCAACAGACAAAACAAAAATAAAGAAAAAAGCACAAACTCAGCGAAGCTTGCAAAAAGTGTTTTTTCTGCCAGCTAAAAAACTGAAAGTGGAAGAAAAACCAAGACGAAGACAGAGGCTGCAGCTGGAGTAGGAGTAGGAGTAGGAGTTGGCGCTGGGGCTGGGGCTGGGGCTGGGGCTGTTTGCTGGATTGGTAGCTAGCTGTCAGTTGGTCGCTTGTTGGGCATAACCTGCGCTCTGGCCGCAGTCTAGTGTGAAGTGGGTTAGCATCGTCATTTGTGAAGCGAGCGGGGCTCTGACTGCTGCGTCGGCGTAGCCGTGAAATAGGCGCACAAATATGTGCCCAGTGCTAAAGCATACAATTACATCAGACCTTAGCTGTAAATATGATATGTACTTAAACATATAAATATGCAGTGTGCAGAAGTCAGCTTTGTAGTAAGACTGGACAAATGCATTATGCAAAGCCTCAGCTGGGCTAGAAGTGATGCAAGAGTAGAAAGGCAAAGCTGATTGCCAAAGGCTCTAGTTAAGGAGGCAACTTGAGCACTTGATGGATCAAAGACAAAAGACCGAAATAGTTACTGTCTTAGAGATAAGCAAAGTGAGAGTGGAAGAAGTGAGAAGAGAACGAAAGACATAGCATGGCATCGTGACATCTATACAGATACGTGCATAAATGTGAGTGCGCGGCTATAACGTTTAAGAATGCGCTATAAAAAATGCATTTAAATTCTAGAAAAATCAAGAAACTGATAAAATGCAATAGTCGTGGAACGAGAATGCTAGAAAAGGTGAAAAACTGATATAATTAATGAAAATACTTGAAGGCGCTAATCAAGGCAAGAGAATGTTAGCAAAGGGGAGAAACTGGTCAAAGTAAATAATAATATTTGATTTTACATCAATTATATAAATATATAGAGTAACATAATGAATTCTACACAAAGATTATATTTATCTAGTAGGTCAGTGAATCAAACACGCAACTAAGTATACCTATTACAACTCCAATCCCCACTCCAAGCACAGCTCCAATCTCACGTGCCCATGAATTGATGAAGTTTCCATGTGAAATTCCAGCTCTTGCAGTTCCTCGGATCTTAGGCATTCTCTGCAATCATAACAGTCAATTTGTTAAGCACACCGCTAAAGAGCTCCCTTTCGGGCCCAGCCCAGTACACAGTCGGGTTATTAACCCGCTTGACAATGGTCAGTTCGCTCGTCCAGCGATGACAAAGTCGCGTCGTTCAGGCAATTGTTAAAAACTGTCACGAAATGCGAAAAAATGCGAAAGTTTACTGACTTCGGAGCATAAGCTTTGACTACTTTGACTACTCTGACTGCTTTGACTTATGCGGTGCATTTCCACGGCCAGGCCATAAACCCAAGACATCCACAAAAAACAGCAATTTGCATGTCGAGGGACAGCGCTTCGCGGAAAAGCGACAAAGCTTGCGTGACCAGCGGCCAGGCACGGGAGAATTCCGACGACAACTTGACCCACGGCTGAATGAGTCGAGCAGCAGCAGCAGCTGGAGGAGTTTGAGGCTGAGGCCCGTCGATATGATCTGAAAATGACTTAATTGTTGCGCTCTGGCAAATAAATAGCAAGAGAAATACCAAATAAAACAGAATTCTGTTTCGTGTCGTCAGATTTCGACTTTTACCTTGCGCACTGCTAACCTATAAATTATGAATTCCACCTGAAGAAATACGAACACACAAAAGTTTTCATTTCATTTCGGCAAACAATGGAGCAGCTGCAATTGACACAGACTCGGCCTGCTTCAACTTTGCGGTAGCTGAAACGGAGAGGAGCGAAAAATGCAATCGCATGTTTAAATGCATTCAACACAGGCAGAGCAGAAAAAAAAAAAAAAAAATATATATATATATATATATATATGCATGTATATATGCGGCTAATGCTAATGTGTAATTAATGCATTAAAATGAAATTTCAAGAAAGATCTAAAGCGTAAAGTTGTAATTTAGCTATGCGAGCTGAGGTTTTGGCTGAGCGAGTGGAATGCTTGTTTTTTTTATTTATTTTATTTCATTTTTTATATACCTCTCAAATATATATATATATTTATAAATCTAAACTTTACCATAGACTGTCTATGTAATTAAAAATAAAAATCTAATTTGAAATCCAAAGAGAGCTCACCGTCTAGTTCTATTGTATCTGAATAATAATATAACAATAATAAAATATTTATGCTAAAGGAATATCACACATACTCGAGACTATCTATACAAACTAAATGAATGGTCTTTAATATATCTTTATATATAACAATTAGTTTACCATTTGCCCCAGTCGAATATTATAATTATATGCAACCTTATCGATTGTGTATTTAAAGTGTACAATCTGCATAAATCATATATTGTTATTATAGGCATCTCTATAAATATAATTTACTTGAAAAGTCTGCCCAACTCATTTCTATATGCAACTCAGTCGATATTCACATTGCAAAGAAAATCTTGAAGACTGTCGGCATTCAGCTCACTCGACAAATCCCACACAGACGAGTGCAGCCTCAAAGTTAAGACCTCTCACGGACCGTAGAAAATTTTCTAGTTATTCGTAAGACCAGACAAAGGTCAAGTTTGCAACTCATCTGAACAAATATTGTTGTACAGCTCAGCCCATAGAGTTGGCGGCTTATTTGTGACCCATATTCAATAATGGACGTGGCGTCGATTGCAATCGAACGCCTCAATTGAAGTGACAGCCCGAGAGATGAGTGGACAAATAATCAGCATTGAATATCTCTGAATACAAAAGCAAATACGAGTGTACGTACTATATAAATAATATATATATACCTACATATGTATATCTCTTTGGGTTTTTGCACAGATTGAAGACATAATAAGTAAAAATAATGATTTAAAGTTATGCAAAAGGCTGCGCTAAGCTAGACAAAAGACTGAATCACTTTTTTTGATGAGAGCTGAGAGTTTAGGGCGTTGGGGCGTGTCCACTGTAGTTGAGGGCTGCGTCTGCGGCTGTCAATGAAACTTTAGTTTAGTGTTATGAAATTTGACTTTCAGTCCGTGCCAGATAAATGCAAAATGTGCGAGGCGAGGCAGCGCAATGAAAGCGCAATTGTTGACGGTTCTCCTCGCTTGGCCATTGTGTTTACGTTTTGGCCAACACGAGTTGGCTCGACTGTCCGCCAGCAATAGCAAAAAAGAAAAAAAAAAGTAAAGCAAATAAATCTTGGCCAACTGTCTGCTGCAAACTGAAGCTGAAGCTGCACAAAAGACGAACTGCAGATACTTTATATAGTTGCCGAGATACAGATACCGAAACAGACTCATCTACAGCCACAGGTACAGATTGAGCTACACATGCGAGACACGCAACGTCGCGTACTACGTGCGCTAAATTTATTGAATTGGAAAGTAAAATTGCAGTTAGTTTTTCGCATATATCTATTTGAATTTATTTCGACAATCTTCGTCTTCGCGTCTTTAATGCTTACACAGCACGCGATTTGTCTAACCATAATTATGGGTATTTTTTTAAAGGTTATTATTTATGATTATTATTATTTTCATTATTGTTTTTTTTTTAGTTGTTGTTTTTGGGCTGTTGACTTGCATATTATATGTTGTTTGTGCTGCTTTGCTGTTGCTGTTGCTGAAATTGAGTTGTTTGCTTGTCAGCTTGATGAAGTGTTAGATCTTTTATGATATTTCAATAACTGCAGCCTCTGCCCACAAAGTGTCGAGTCGAATGTGTTAATAAATAATAATAAATGGGGGAGCAATAGCTTCAAGATATTTTAGCCAGATAATTGTGAGCTTATGCAATCATTTACTTCTTTGTGGTATTTTAAATATTACCCCCATTTTGCACATTCACAGATTTAAACGGAAGCCTTGTAAGAATATTGCTGAGAAACTCGAAAGCTTTCCTCAGCTTCTGTTTCTCTCATATGCCTATGCTTCACTCATAGCATTTT